GAGAAGTTGTTCAATGTTTGGAAGAGTTAGTGGGCAATTTCTCAATTTCTATTAAGTTGAAGGGCTTGCAAGATGGGTTTGAATGGGTTCTCACGAATGTTTACAGGCCAAACTCATATAGAGAAAGGAATAAAATGTGGGAGGAGCTTGGGGATATTAGGGGCCTCTGGGAAGGACCTTGGTGTCTAGTAAGTGAGACATCTGGGGGAAGGCAAAGAACTACATCAAGCATGAGGAAATTCAACTCCTTTATTGAAGCTTTTGAGCTAAGAGATATTCCCCTAGGACAATCCTGCTATACTTGGTCAAACCTTCAAACAAACCCTATTCTTTCCAAGCTTGATAGATTTTTAGTCTCACCAGATTGGGAAGAGCATTGGCCAGATTTAGTTGGGAGAAATCTCCCTAGAATTACCTCAGACCATTGGCCCATCTGTTTGTTTGAGAGAATCAATGATGGTGGCCCAACTCCATTTAGATTTGAAAATATGTGACTCACTCACCCGGAGTTTAAAGAGAATGCGAAGGTTTAGTGGAATAGACTGGACCAGTCTGCAATGTGGGAAGGCCAAAAGTTCCTAAAGAAACTCCAATTGTTGAAAAAGGAGATCAAGGAGTGGAATAGGGAGAAGTTCAAAAGACTAGAGGAGAAGAAAGTTGACTTAATTTCCCAGATTGAGGCAATTGATAGCAAAGAGATAGAAGGATCCTTAGGTGAAGGTGAAAGGGAGTTGAGATGGTCTCTAAAGAAAGAGTTAAGAGAAACTTTATTGAGGGAGGAAATTTGTTGTAAGCAAAAATCAAGAGAGAGGTGGGTCAAAGAAGGGGATGGAAATACAAGGTTCTTCCATGCCATTCCAAATGGAAGAAGAAGGAAGAGCATGATCAATTCTCTATTGGTGGGGGAAAATGAGGTTACAAACCAAAATGAGATTGCTAAAGTGTTCTCAAAGCATTTCAGGTCTATTTATAGAAGACCCCTAGTTGAGAGGTGGAGGGCTGAAGGCATTGATAGGAAGACACTGGGAAGCCTCAAGTCCAAATTTTGGAAAAAAAAGGTTTGGAGAGGGAGAGATTAAGGAAGCGGTTTTTTTCTATGAATAAATCAAAAGCACCAAGGCCCAATAGTTTCACAATGGCCTTCTATCAAGACTATTAGGACATAATCAAACGACATCTGCCCAGAGTGTTCAATGAATTCTATAAAAGAGGGGTGATAAGTCTGAGTATGAACTCTACATTTTTAGCACTGATCCCAAAGAAGAACAATGCCAACAAGCCAGGGGATTTCAGACCAATAAGTCTAGTCACCAATATTTACAAGGTGATAGCAAAGGTGTTAGTCTTTGAGGATTAAGAAGGTGATCCCCCCACTTGTTTCACAATCTCAAGGGGCCTTTGTATAAGATAGACACATTATTGACCAAATCTTAATTGCCAATGAATGTGTGGAGGCTCAAAAGAGACTAAAGAGGAAAGGAGTGGCTATCAAACTGGATTTGGAAAAAGCCTATGATTTGGTGGATTGGAACTTCTTGATTGATATTATGAGGTGTGGCTTTGGAAATTTGTGGTGCAAATGGATTAAGGGTTGTTTACAAATTAGTCACTACTCAATCATAGTTAATGGGACAGTGTATAATTTCTTTGAGGGATTCCGTGGGCTAGAGGATGACCCCCTTTCTCCCTTTCTATTTACTTTGATTGCTGAAGCCCAAAACAAATTGATTTTGAGAGCAAATTATTTGCAGCTTTTCAGGGGTTGGTCAATGGGGAGGGATAATGTTTTGGTCACTCACTAATTTCTTGTGATGGAGACTATAGGGAAGGAGTGGAAAATTTGAGGCTGGTTGTGRAACTCTTTGAGAGGATGTCCAACTTGAGGATCAATTGGTCAAAGAGCTTACTGGTTGGAATCAACATTGAAGAGGACGAATTAAGGCTTCTGGAAGACTCCCTAGGTTGTGAGAAAGGAGAGTGACCGTTGAAATATTAGGCTTACCACTAGGAGATAACCCTAGATCTACTTGCTTTTGGTCTTCAGTGGTGGAAAGAATTGATAAACGCTTGGCGGGGTGGAAAAGGAACTATATCTCAGTGGGAGGAGAATAACTCTTATCAAGTCTACCCTAGCAAATCTTCCGATGTACTACATGTTAGTGTTTAAGATGCCATAAGGGATAGTGAGGAAAATTGAAAAAATCATGAGGGATTTTCTTTGGGAGCCAGGGGAAACTAAGAAAGATCATGTGGATAGATGGGAAAAGGTGGTGACATTGACAGATGAAGGGGGCTTGGCAATTGCTAATGTAAGATTGAAGAATCAGGCCTTGAGGCTTTGGAGGTTTCCAAACGAAAATGAAAAATTATGGCACAAAGTTGTGGCAAGCATTCATGGCATGTCGAGCAACAGATGGGATGCTAGATGCCTCCGTAGGGCCACCTTGGATACTCCTTGGAAAGCCATCCATGATTTTCTCCCAACTTTCCTAAATCATATCACGTATGACTTGTTTTCTGGTAGTAAAATTAGATTTTGGGAGGATGTGTGGATTGGGGATACTCCTTTGTGTGAGAAATTTCCTTCTCTTTTTGATCTTTCCAGATTCAAGGGTAGGCCTATTTCAGATTTACTAAGTCAACCTTCTCACCTCCCAGGGTTGAATTGGAACTTTGGCTTTAACAGGAACCTCAGAGAATCTAAACTTCTTGCAATGTCCGAGCTGTTAGGCTTGCTGAACTCAATGTTCTTGGGAGAAGGTGGTTCAGATTCTAGGATTTGGGGTCCTAATTCTGACAGGTTGTTTTCTTGTAAATCCTTTCTACACTCGTTGGTTGCCACCTCCTCTCATCCTTTCCCAGTCAAAGAAATTTGGTCAGTGCTTTTTGTTGGGAAGTATTTCATGGTTGTATTAATACTTTTGATGTACTTCAAAGAAAAAGGCCAAATTGGTGTTTGTCCTCTAACTAGTGTGTCCTATGTAAGATGAATGGTGAAACTGCTTTCCACCTCCTAATATTATGTACTTTTGTCAGTTTTATTTGGAATTGGTTTACTTCCCTTTTTGGGTGCAGGTCGTCTTCTCCTGACAGATTGGAAGGTTTATTCAGCCCTATTGGTATTAGTGGCACGACAAGGAGGGGTAAGATCCTATGGAGATTACTAGAGCAGCACTACTTTGGACTGTCTGAGAGGAAAGAAATGCAAGAATATTTGAAGGAAAAGAAAAATGTAAGGAAGCCTTGGTTGAAACAATAACATTGAGGGTGGCACAATGGGCAAAAAGCTTGAAGATGTTTTCAGTTTTTAAGGTCGAAGACTTCTTTAGGGTTTGGGGACTTATTGCTGCCTCTTCATTTACAAGACAACAGCTTTTTGAGGTGTGGTCCCCTCCAACAGATGGCTGGAAGAAGCTGAACCTTGATGGGAGTAGTGTGGGTAATCCAAGCCCCTCAAGCATTGGGGGGAACATTAGAGATGAAGATGGAAACATCATTGCTCTGTACTCCGGTCCTGTGGAGCAAGGTGATGTGGCAAGGGCAGAGTTTCTAGCTGCAGCATATGGGGTTGAGAAGGCTAAAGAGTTGGGTATTAATAGACTGATCATTGAGGGAGACTCAGAAACTGTGATAAAATGGTTACAGAAAGGGGAAGGGGTGACGTGGCAGCTGAAGAATGAATTCCGAAGATTTAAATGGTTGTCAAGGGACATGACAATCTGATAGGCCCCCAATTAACCTTACGTATGCCAGGAAGAGGAAAGGTCAACAATCGGCTAAGGGGGGAAATAATTGAACAATTGAACACATGGGGGCAATTATAGCTGAAGGGAATAAGGAGAGTCTTGAGGCATTTATAGCCATGTCAGTTAGGAATAAGAAGAGTGTTGGGCATTTATAACTTGGCCAGCTGGGCATTTATAGAGGGAGTCAGTTATGCTGTGAGAAGAGTATAAGAAGGGGCTTTGGCAGATGGGGGGAGGTATGTTTTTCTTGAGTGAAGAATACTGTGAGTGATTGGGAGAGCCGGCGGTCTCTCGAAGTACCGACCAACTGTTAATGTTTTCTTCTGAATGAATACCAGTTTCTTTTGTTGATGTTCAAGTTGTGTGAATTCTGCTGTGAGTCTGAGAACTGCGTGAAGTTTCTGGGACATAACACAATCCAGGTGGGATGGGTGAGGAGATCAGCCAACAGTTTGGCTGATTGYTTAGCGAAGCAAGGGGTTCAAAGAACACATATGTTTTGGGCACGTTTGTAATTCTATCTTGGGTGAGCTTTTAAAGCTGGTTTCTTTCACAACCTCTTGTTGTACCATAATTTTTCTAATTAATGAAATCATTTCAGAGTTATTGATCAAAAAAATTAATCATATTACCAAGTGTATTAAGGATATAACCTTGACACAGCACAGAGTCTCTAGGTTTAAATTGTAAGTGAACAGATAGACCACCTTTTTGTTCTCAATATTAATTCCAAAGTTTCCCCAAGTATTGTCGAAGTATTAAGTTTATTCATAGTTTTGAAGCAATTGCAATCAATTGTAACTAGGTCATTCTCTGGCCAACTTGCTGTGCATACATCACATTGTCATGGTTACATCCTTACACTCCTTTCTCTCTGCCTTCTTAACATAAATATCATTTTATCTAAAAAGGTTCACAAGAAAAATGAACTTTCCAACTAGTTCTAAGAAAGTTTTTATGAAATTTGCTTAATAACTTATGCTGCATTTGGATAAGCTTTGAATCCTTTGATGTCCGTGCTTTTAAAGCACAAAAGCTCAAAGACCTAATTTTAGGATTTGTACTATAGGGCTTACGAGTGTTTTGGCTTCAGATAGTGTTTTTAAAAGAAATTCTTAGCAAATGCTCAAAACACTTTTTGCCTCAATTTTGATTTTCACAGCCCAAAGCTCAAAAACCAAAGCTTATCCAAACAGGGCCTAACTTATAATGTACTTCAAAAGACAAACTACATAAAACATCGCAGTCCCTCACCTTTTTAAAATATAGAGGAGCCTGCTTTGCAATCTCTCGAGGCAAAGGAATGCACTCAACCAAGCAATGTCGACGCTGCTGCACCAACCCAATAACAGTTTCAAGAAACACAACGTCCTTCTCTTGCTTTGCAAACATCATAATGAGGCATTTCTTGAAATTGCGAATTTCTTCCCACACATTATTGTCAACATTTCTTGTAGCTGATTCATGCTGTAAATGGGAAAACATTCATGAAAAACAATGTTTGAAAGAGAAATAAAGTGACAACAAAAGACCAGATGTTGAATTGAAATATCATATTGGCTCTCACCAGCATAGGCAAAATGCAGCAATGGCCTTGTACAATGGGCTGCCACTGTGGAAGCATCAAATATGTAAAATTTGCTATAGAAATTACAAGATGTTTTGGTCTAGTTGGGTTCTCAAAACAAAATTGACAGCGTTCTTGCTGAGTCAAGATGYGCTTTGCAATATTAGCATTCTCACTTGATTTATGCTTATGCACATCTGCCCTTCTCTTATCTCGCTTTTTGCTTGGACATCCATCATAATCATATTCGTCATCTGCCTGACCAGACATACTATATTGTTTGTTCTGCATTATATGCTGAGCCAAATGAAAATCAGCATTCTCTTCCTTTTTCTTTTTGTGAGCAGATATATCCTTCTTCATAATGTATCTACACCCAGAGAGTATGATATCAGTATCAGATTGTTAGATTATACAGACAGTAAATGGATAAAAACATGAGAGAAAAATATAAGGATGTAAGAGAAAGTGTACAGAAATATTTTTTGGGAAGTAGCTTTCTCAACTACCTAATCTAAGGGATGCTTGGCCTCCATGTAAATAGTTTTCCTCTTTATTTTAATAAACTTCAGTTACCCATCAAAAAAGATATGTTATTATTATCATTGTTATTTTTCATCAGTAAATGATCAATGATAACTTTATTAATGAGGTCTAGTGCAAAATAATACAAGAAATTAGACTCAGCTTGGCACAGAACATGCTAACCATGAGCCCAAAAAGAAACCAAAAACATCTGAGAAGTTTTATAAATGACTGTTCCCTAATGGCAGACCCCCAGTACATGTCCTTCATATTAACACCTCTCAACTTGGAATCTGCTGCACATTCAGCTGATCTTGGGTCCTATCTAAACGAAGTGTTCATGCTGGATGTCAAAGATTTACCTTTCTTATGAAATGCAAGTACATCACCATCATCAAGGCCATTGATTCCTCCTATTTAAAGGGGAGAATGTCTATACTTTCTGCACATCATTCTTTTTTATATGATTAATGGGCCATTTGTTTCTTTTCCTTTCAAAATAAGACAGGTTCTCTGGACCATGCCATAACCCAAAGAATCTAAGTTAGGAGACTAAAACAAGCCACCAAAAGAATACAATAATAATATGCATGCCACATATTAAAAAATATATTATTTATGAACACTGAAATTAATGTTGGACACATTAATAGACATTTAATATGCATACCACTTAGGTTAAAAGAAAAAAAAAATCTATAAAACAGTTGTAAGACCAGCAATGCTCTATGGAATAAGACTGTTGGGCAGGCAAGAACATGTCCAAAAAATGAGTGTGGCAGAAATGCGTGAGCTAACATGGATGAGTGGAAAAACTAGAAAGTATAGGCTCAAAAAAAAGTCATTTAAAAGAACCTGGGAGCAGCTTCAATAGGTAAACTAAGATGGTTCAGTCAGTCAATCACATGCATAGAAGACTATCTACAGCAACTATAAGAAGAAGCAATCTGTTGCAAGTTGAAGGGGCTAGAAGAGCTAGGGGCGTACCAAAAAGGACATGGGTTGAAATAGTAAGAAATGATTTAAGCACTCATATTTTAACAACGGATATAGCACTAAACAGAAAAGAATGGTGAAACAGGATTCATATAGCCGACCCCATATAGTTGGGATAAGGCTTAGATGATAAAGATGATTTATAAACACTGAAATGTAAATGAATGTGTGTATTGATGGATAATTGTTCACATTATTAGTTGCTAATAACAAATATGTAATATTATTTTACAGAGAGAAAAGTGCCAAGCACCCCAAAGATCTAGGATAGAGATATCTTGCAGATATAACTATATATCTTATAGTAACAAATAATAGTTAAAAATTACAAAGACAAGAAGACACCTGCTCACACTTCCCTCTGTTCCCTGGCTGACGAATTTATCCTTGTTGTCCTGCTTCACCTTGATTTTTTCTGCTTCTTGCTGTAGGGGAAAAAGAGGAATATTCCAGTTAAAGTTGATACAAAAGATGTGACTCTTACTAACTAGCACGTAAATCACCAAAATCTATATCAACATTCACATGTATCCTCTACGTTGACATTGAGACTAGACACACTGATAATTTTCACCCAATATGCCCATACATTGCCCCCTCCCCCCAAATTAATCATATCTTCTATTCTGGGCCTAACAAGTATCAAGAAATTCCAAGGACAACCAATAGAACAGGAATTAAAAATTGTGATGTGACATATGCAATGAAATGATGATCCATTTCAGGGCCCAAAATGTGTTAAAGTGCCATCCTTTCTTTTGAAGGTTTGTACTGAAAGGAATCCAGTGCAGCAGGATATTTTTGTCAGTGATTTAAAAGGTGCACCTAAGTGCATAGGAAAGGCGCATTTCAAGGTATGTGCCTTGCCCGAGGCAGTCCTTATGAAAAGGCATGCACCTTGTGCACCTTGCACCTCAGCCCTGGCATGCATCTTAGTTTGCATAGTGGCTGGAACAGACCAAGCCCCTTGAGGCAAGCCCAAACAAGCCCATGTGGTGGTCCTAAATTTTTAGATCATACATACAGAGATTGTATTATTTTCTTTATTTGCAGTTCACTAATAGAGTTGGGAATCAAATGTTGTTTGATGAAGAATGTCTTGTATCAAGAAGGATGAGATAGTAGCAAATAACATTCACTTGTCGCTTCTCTAACAAAACCCCATTTTTTTAGCAAGGTTTAGCTGAACACTTTAGCTGTTCAGCGGGCTGTGGAACCAATGATAAGGTTCCACACCAGTATTAAATACATGGGCCCACATCTTTTACAGTGGGGCCCATGAATTAATTACTGGCATGGAACCGCATCATTAGTTCCACAGCCCGCTGAACAGCTAAAGCATTCAGCTAATCCGAATTCACCTTTTTGCTAGTATTGTTTTCTCATTCTTCTAAATACAAGACATTCTTAATCCAACAACATGTGATTCCTAATCCTAAAATATATGAACTGCAATTAAAATCACAAATCCAAACTTTTTATATACAGGCCAAAAATTTAGAACCCATGAAAGGGCTTTGCCTGGGCTTGCCTCAAAGGACCTTGACAGCGGCAGAGGGCCAATTTCATAGAATTAGAAATGCAAGGTGCTTAACATCATATTAGGTACCTAAAGTAATGCAAGTGGGAGAGAAATAAACAGATTGAAAGTTTCACATGCTTGAATTGTTGAGTGCTTGAATATGTTCTGTGTTTGATTTTATTTCTATATTTTCACTTTGAATATGATTTATGTGTTACATTTATGTATTTTAATTAGGAGTCAATAGGATTTTTAAAACACAGTTTCTTTAAAAATTCAAGTTTGTAATTTTCTGAATTAATATTGTTTTTATTTTTTGTTTTAAAAAACTTTGCACCTTAAAAGGCCCCTTGCACTTTTAAAACACTGACTTTTATCACAATTACCACCACAGAAGTGATGCAGCAAAGAAGGTCCTTGATAGCAGCCACATATGCACTCTCACTCACTGAATTTTACTTATCTCCCTCTTTTATTAGGTAAGTGAATAATGATTTTTTTTATCAATCATGCATTTCATTAATTAATCACAGAAATAATTACAAAGGGGAAGATAAAACTTTCTTATCTTCCAACTGAAGCTTGAGCCCCCAAGAAAAAGAGAAAAAATTTACACCTGTGCCCAAAACATTGACTCCCTCTCCACCCCTTGTTTAGCTAACCCATCAGCAAAAGAGTTGGCTGATATTTTCACCCAACTGATCTTAACTTCCATCTCTCAAACCAGCAACCTAAATTTCCTCCTCACATTGCTGTAATTCCATAAGCCACTGTTGTCTTTATTCAGCCACCCTACCACCACCTCCGAGTCCCCTTCAATTATGAGTTTTCTTATATTCATCTCCTTAGCTCTCTAGACTCCTTCCATAACTGCATAGATCTCGACTCTGAGAGAGTCACCCACTCCAATTGGACCTGAGAGCAAGGCAGAAACACACCCATTCTCATCCCTAAAAACACCCCCAACCCCTGAGTGTCCAGGATTCCCTCTACTACTCCCATCAAAGTTTAGTTTTAGGAAACCAGCAGCTGGGGGGGTCCAAGACACACTCATTACTGTTTTGGTCTGGGTACAATTTGCAAGCTCACCCCACTTCCTCAACAAGTCATTCACTGTGTAATCTGTGAACAGCTCAGAGGATTTCAGCCACTGTACAACCCTTATATGGATCAGTTCTCTCAGTTCTTCAGCACCTCTCTCTACTTCAGAGAAGATCCTGGAGTTTCTTTCTTCCCATAAAGACCAGCATACTGCAGCTCTCAGGCATCTCCACATGGTTCTCCCCCTTTTGCATACACTACCTGAAAAAATAAAGGGAAAAAAGACTTTGCAAGTTTGATGGAAGGTTCCAACTACACCCAAAGAGGGAGAAAGCCCACTCCCAAATAGACTTTGCAAACTGGCACGACACCAATAGGTGAAAACCAGTCTCCCCATCAGCTTTACAAAGAACACACCAGTGAGGGGACAAACAAGTATTGGGTCTCTTCTTTTGGAGCAGATCACCACTGTTTATTCTTTCTAGAGAAGCTTCCCAGCAAAAACTACCAACCCTAGGAGGAATTGGTCTGCACCAAACCTCATTAACAAGGAAAGGGAGGGCTACAAAACTGGTGGACTGGTTTAAGACTTTGAAGAAAGAGGAACAGGAGAATGAGCTAGTGGGGGTGGGGGGTTTAGATTCTAGAGTCCAACTTAGCAGGGTCTATAAAAACATTATCAAGAAGTCCAAGGAGACTCGAAATACTACCAAGGTCTAAGTCTCTCACAGCCCTCCTCAAACCCAGAAATGGAAGAGAAAGGGGTAATGAAAGAAGAAACTGACTCATTTTTCAAATCAAAGAGGGCATACAAAGAAGGAAACTAGTCCTTTAGAGGGGCATTCCCTACCCAAGTTTGTTCCCTGAATTTTATGGAGTCACTAAATTCAAGTCATGCCTGATAAAGAGGGAAGAAGACTGGTAACAAATCATGAATGGCTTTCCAAGGTGACGCACTTGTAGTCCTAACTTGGATTCCAGCATCCCATCCATTTGGCTCCAGCCCATGTATGCTTACCACTACTTTAACCCATAATTTCTCCTTCTCTAGTGGGAACCTCCACAACCACTTCCCCAAAAGGGCAAAATTCCTTTTTTCTACTGTTCTCAAGCCCCAAACCACCACGATTTTTGCTTCTAGTCACCACCTCCCAGCTCACCCTATGGTTCCTCTTCTCCTCTCCCGGCTCCCAAAGGAAATCTCTCATCATCTTCTCCAATTTGTTAGATACCTTTGCTGGGATTTTGAACACTGAAAGGAAATAAATGGGTAAATTTGCTAGAGTAGCCCTAATCAATGTAATCCTCCCTCCAAGAGAAAGGTAATTCTTTTTCCAAGAGACAAGTCTCTTTTCAAATCTTTCCACCACYGGATTCTAGAAACTCTCTTTCTTTGGGTTATCTCCCAATGGCAACCCTAAATAATTCAATGGCCACCCTGAGACTTCACACCCTAGCAATTCTACTCTCTCCCTAATCTCTCTCTCTCCTCCAAATTCACACCCATCACAACTTTTCTCAAAATTCACCTTCAGGTTGGACATTTGTTCAAAGAGTTGTATCATCAATTTCATATTCCTAATATACCTCAAATTTCCTCCTTCGCAAAATAGAATCGTGTCATCTGCAAACTGCAAGTGGGTAAGGGGGGTTCCCTCCCTTCCAAATCTCCAACCTCTTAGGAGGCCCCTAGAATTGCTCTGTGAATCAATCTCCCCAAAACATCAGCAACCAGTGTGAACAAGAAGGGAGATAGGGGGTCCCCTTGTCTTATGCCCCTAATGGCTGGAAAGAAATCTACCACTGTCCCATTCACTAGCACAGAATAATGGAAAATCCGAACACACCCCATAATCCATTTGCACCACCTAACCCCAAACCCAAATTTGGTTATAACTTTCTTCAAGAAATCCCAATCCACCAAGTCATAAGCCTTTTCCAGATCCAACTTACATACCACTCCCTTCTTTCTATCCTTCCTGAAATTCTCCACTCTCATTAGCAATTAGAATTTGATCAGTAATTTGTCTTCCACTCACAAAAGCTCCTTGATTTGGTGTAATGATAGTTGGCAATACTTCCTCCAATCTCAAAGACAATACCTTTGCTAGAATCTTATACAAGCTACTTACCAAACTAATTGGCCTGAAATTCTTTGGATGGGATGCATCTATCCATTTTAGAACCAAAGCTAAGAAGGTGGAATTCACTCCTAGGTTAACAACTTCTCTCCTATGAAATTCCTCAAACACCAGCAAAAGGTCACCTTCCAAAATATCCCAACAGTCTTGGTAAAAAGCCATTGTGAAACCATCCGGGCCTGGACCTTTTGTTTTATCCATAGAAAACACAGCCTTCGTAATCTCTTCCAACTCAAACTTCTTTCCAACCCCCGCTTGTTATCTGCCCCTACATTTGGCCAGTCCATTCCTTCAAACCACACCCCCCTACTTAAAGGCCTTCTTAAGATGGACTTAAAGTGTCCTACAAAGGCCCCTACTATCTCATCTTGTTGTGTTAAAACAACTCCATCCACTTCCAGTCTGGAAATAAAATTTCTCCTTCTCCTCCCATTTGCCAAAGAATGAAAAAACTTGGTATTCTATCTCCCTCTTGCAGCCATTTACATCGAGATTTTTGCCTCCAGCTTATTTCCTCCTTATGTAGGCACTCCTCTAGTTGTCTTCTCAAACCTCTTCTTTGTTCCTTGTCTGCCTCTCCAAATTCTCCCCTTTCTTCTTTCAAGTCAAGGCTCTCAAGTTGGTCCCTCAAGGTTCTCTTTCTTTCTTTTAGCCTTCCAAACTCCAATTAATTCCACTCCTTGATCTTTGCTTTCAAAAATTGTAGTTTCTTATGGAAGAA